AGACCCTCTGTCTGTCTGTCTATCCACCTATCTATCTACCTACCTACCTTTCAATCTCTGTCAATATCTCCTTTCTCTCCTTCCCCTATCTCTCTGTGTAGATGTCTCTCTCTCTCTGATTTTTTCCTTCCAGATCTTTTCCTCTCAATCTCTTCATGTCCATCCCTCCTCTTGCACTCTGAGCCACCTGAGTTGGGCTGTTCCATTGAGGGCACCTGGCTCCATCCCTCATGTGCCTACCACGTCTTGTGAGCAGGCACACCCATGTCTCATACCCTGCCCCTGGTTGTGTGTTTTTCCGGTTCTGCATCTCTTTTGTCTGTCTGTGTACCTCAGAGGCCTTTGCTTTCTTTCACTCTCTTTTCATTTTCTCTTCTGGTGGATGGAGAGATACAGGCATAGGAGAGAGACACAGAGTGAAGCAAGTTCCCCCTCCCCCAATATCAGCATCAGGAAAAAATACTAGTGCAGGGAGAAAGTGTGCGACTCCCCTTTGATAAGTCACCCTCTCTGGCCTCAGCCTCCTCATCTATGAGCCAATAATAACGCCTGTTACGTAACTGTCCCGCAGCTTCGTAAGCTGCAAGTGTGTAGGGCGTGACACTGTGCGTGGACAGTGCTTAAAACCTCGTTTGTGCATCTCGAGGGCCCCATAGTGGTAGTGACATCTACCGTGCCCATGGTCACTGTTCTCGTTTTTTTCCTTCCCATCAGTGCTTAGAAACACAGTCACTGAAGAGCAAGGTGAAAGTGATGTCAACACGGAGGAAAGCATGGAACTATGGGGATGGGAACAAGGCTAGAGTGTGTGTGTGTGTGTGTGTGTGTGTGTGTGTGTGTGTGCATGTGGTGGTCAGAGAACAAAGGGCTCACCTTTCACCTTGCTTTGAGGTAGGGTCTTTACTTCTCACCACTGTGTGCTCTAGGCTAGCTGGCCCGCCAGCGTGTTTATTGCTCACCCCTGCATACACCAGGCTAGCCAGCCTACAGATTCCTGGATGTTCTCCCGTCCCAACCCCCGTCTCCCCACAGGAACAGTGCAATTACAGACACACGGCTACCGCGCCTGGCAAAACGTGGCACCTGAGGAACTGGACCCTGTTCCTCGGGCTCACCCAGCGAGTGCTGTACCCATCTCCTTGTGCGGGCTGGAGTAGTAAATCCATCAGGGTCTTGGTGTCAGGGCAACAGGAGATTGAAATCTGGGTGAATTACCAGTCTCTGCCCTGCTTCCTTCTCTCTTCTAAGTCTCTCCACATAAGTCTCTGCATGGAAGATGTCCGTGCAGGTATACCATGGACAGGAGCTAAGAGGAAGCCAAACACCTATCATTTTTTAGATTGATTGATTCATTATTTATACAATATTCCGCCTGCATGTGTGCCTGCACACCAGAAGAGGGCACCAGGTCTCATTATAGAGGGTTGTGAGCCACATGTGGGTGCTGGGAACTTTAACTCTGGACCTTTGGAAGAACAGCCAGTGCTCTTAACCTCTGAGCCATCTCTCCAGCCCAACACATCTTATCTTAAAAGCTTATTTATTTTTATTTAATATGCAGTGTTGGTTTGCCCTCCTGTATGTCTATGTCAGATCCCCTGGAACTGAAGTTACAGACAGTTGTGAGCTGTCATGGGTGTGATGGGAATTGAACTCAGGTCCTCTGGAAGAACAGCCAGTGCTCTTAACAACTGAGTCATCTCTCTAGCCCGCCAAACACATCTTGACGTGTTAGTCTTGTCCTTTTTCATTCTTTTATTTATGAGACAGGATTTCACTACATAGCCCCGGCTGGTCTGGAGCTCACTATCCAGTTGGCCACAAACTCACAGAAATCCCCCTGCCTCTGTCTTCCAAGTGCTGGATTATAGGTGTGTACTATCACGCCCCACTTTTCTTTTAACTTTGATTACATATGTTTGTGTGTTTGGGGTGTGTGTGTGTGTGTGTGTTTGAGAGAGAGAGAGAGTGCATGCACAAGTCACAGGTGGCAGTCAGAGAGCAACTTCTGGAGTCAGCTCTGTCCTTTTACAAATGGGTCCCAGGAATTGAACTCCTGTTGGCAGGCTTGGTGCCAAACACTTTTATCCACTGAACCATCTTACCAGTCCTGGGTTTTGTTTTGTTTTGTTTTTTTTGGTGTTTTTTTTTTTTTTTTAATCCCTTGGTACTTCCTAAATGAAAGGACCCGTCCGCCAGATGTACCACGCACACTATTTAAAGCAGCCACCGGGGCCGCCCTGTGAGCAGAGGGTGTTGAGAGGACATGACTCTCCCTGAGGCCGCTGAGGTAAGTGTGCTCACAGCTGAATTGTGGGTGAGCCCCAAGGCCTCACCACACCCCGAGGGTGAGGACCTGGGTACCATGACAATCACACCAGAGGGCTGAGGACCTGGCTCAGTGCTTGTCTTACAGGCACAGAAACTGGGTGTGGCAGCACATTCCTATCACGTGGGCACTCGGGGAGGAAGAGCTAAGAGGAGTTCAGGGTCAGCCTCAGCTACGTAGTGAGCTCTAGGCCAGCCTGGGCTCTATGAGACCCTGTCTCCCTAAAAACGCCACCATACCACATCGAAGGCCAAAGCTCTGACTCTAGTTCCAGAGCTCAGTGTTTCCTGAGGCTACCCCAGAGCAGGATGCAATGTGCACAAGCACACATGTGCAGACACCTACCTACACCCGCTGATGTAGGCAGAGGTCGGAGAGAAACAAGCTCAGTTTTGTAAAAATAGCTTTAACACGCTGCGACAACCGGGAAGAGGCTCTGTCTGTCTTCTTCATCTATTTATTTGTGCGTGTGCGCATACATGTCTGTGCTCACATGCATGCCGTAGCACACCTATAGAGGTCAGAGGACAGCTTGCAAGGACTCTGCCTCTCCTTTCAACACGTCTGAACCTGGGTCATCAGACTTGGCAGCAGTGCCCTTACCTACCCAGCCATCTCGCTGGCTCCAAAGAGCCTTTATGTTAGGTACACAGATCAAAAATCCTTCTAAGATCTGTCCAAACCTCCACCCATGTTACCCCGAGGTTAACACCCCCCCCCACACACACACGCCTTTGCCAACTGACTTCTCTTTCTAAATTAAGCCAGTGTCTTACCTTCTTTTTTTTTTTTTCTTTTTTATTGTTGAGGTGCTGAGAATTGAGTCAAGGTTTCACACCTCAGGCGAGTGTTCTACCACTGAGCGACAAGCCAAGCCATTGATTATTATTATTTATAGCCATGATAAAGCCCTGGCTGATCATGAACACACAGATCCACCTGCCTCTACCTCCTGAGTGCTGGGACTGACTCTAGTTTTAGGGATCCTCTGCCCTCTTCTGACGTCCTTGGGTACTGCATATGTGTAGTGCATAGACGTAGACTTGGGAAAAGCCACCCCACACAGGACAAACAAAAAAATTCTTTTTAAAAAACATTTCAAAAAAAAAAAGTTTCAGCTAGGCGGTGGTGGCACACACCTTTAATCTCAGCACTCAGAAGGCAGAAGCAGGTGGATCTTTTGAGTTTGAGGCCAGCCTGGTCTGCAGAGTGAATTCCAGGACTACACAGAGAAACCTTGTCTCAAAACAACCAAGCCAACCCCCCCAAGGTATGTTTCAATATGTCTAGATATTGTGTAGGTGCTTATATCAAGCTAACATTTCTTCTTCTGATAACATAATTATTTCTTTAAATAGTTTTCTTGAGTCAGAATTCCATTTATGTAGTCCTAGTTGGCCAGGAATTTGCTTTGTAGACCAAATTGGTCTGGAAGTCACAGAGATCTGCTTGCCTTTGCCTCATGAGTGTTTGGATTAAAGGAATGTCCCACCAGCTTAAGAGAAAAATATCTATTTATTCCTTTATTGTGTGCAAAGGTCAAAGGACAACTTGGGGATCAGACTTAGGAACCTTTCCCCACTGAACTATCAGTGCTTGCTTTTGAGATAGGGCTTCATTACTGAGCCCAAGCTGGTCTTCGACTCATGACCCTCCTGCTTCAACCTCTCCAGCACTGGGATTATAGGCATGTGCCGCCATGTCTTCATATTTTTAGGATTTTGTAGAGGAGCCTAAACCAGCTTTTAAAAAGAATAAGATGATTGGAGTGATGACCCAGTGGATAAAGCGCTTGCCATTAAAAAAAAAAAAAAAAAAATAGGGCCCAAATTCAGATGCCCAGCATTCATGTAAAAGCCAGGCATGACAGGGAGTGTCTGCAGTGCCAGCACTGGGGAGGTAGACAGGGGCTTGCTGGCCAACCAGTCCTGCCAAATCGGTGAGCCCCAGCTCCACTGAGAGACCCTGTCTCAAAAAATAAGGTTGGGGGCTGGAGAGACGGCTCAGCAGTTATGAGAACCCACTGCTTCCAAAGGATTCAATTGCCAGGACACACATTTGGTGATTCACAATTGCCTGTAACTCCAGCCCCAGGAAATCCAACCCCTCTCCTGGCTTGCTCAGGCACCCACACACAGGTGCACAGATCCACCCACAGACACAAATACATGCAAGTAAAATAAATCCTTTTAGAAAGAAAAGAATTGTTAAGGAAGCCCCCTAGGGCGACCTTTAGCCAGTGCGACACTCACACAGGCAAGCACAAGCAGTCACACACATAATTCATTCTACCCAGACGCTGGTGGTGCACACCTTTGATCCCAGCAGGGGAGGGGAAGCAGAGGCAGGTGGATCTCTGTGAGTTCAAAGCCAGCCAGGTCTACAGCGAGAGTTCCAGGATCAGCCAGAGCTACACAGAGAAACCTAACTACAAATTCACTCTGTTATAGTGCCACAAAACAGAAGAAGTGTGAGAGAGGTGAAGGCCTGCTTCTTGTTGACAGCCGCTCTGACCTGTGTCAGCTCGCAGTGCGCTTCGGAGGCCTGACGTCCTGGTTCCCTGTGCACTGAGCTCTACAGCATGACCTTAACCCACCATGGGACCAGTGGATAAGTACAGGAGATAGCTCCAGTATGGTGGGACCTCACCTCAGCCTGCTCTCCCGGTCTCATGGCGGTGAAGGTAGCGGGTGCCTCCAAGGAGGCAGGGACTGAACCCAGCCAGCTGGGCTTTGGGAGGGGGCAGATGAGCTTGAGTTAGCTTTGTGTGTGTGCACATGTCTGCATGTGTGTATGCGGTTCACATATGCACCTGGACCGCAGAGGTCACCTCAGCTGTGGTTTCTCAAGCACCACCACGATGGTGTGTTTTTGTTGTTGTTTGAGACAAGGTCTCTTGCTTGCCAAGAACTCACCAACTGGTTAGCTACACCAGCTGACCAGTGAGCCCCAAGTGCTGGGGTTGTAGGTGTGTGTCACCACACCTGATCTTTTTGGGATTGGGGGGGGGGTGAGACAGGATTTCTCTGGTTATCCCTGGCTGTCCTGGAACTCACTCTGTAGACCAGGCTGGCCTTAAACTCACAGAGATCCACCTGCCTCTGCCTCCCAAGTGCTGGGATTAAAGGAGTGCACCACCAAGCCAGGCCTTGACCTAAAATATAAAGGGGGAGAAGCGGGGTCCTCACAGTCACAAGGTAATGCGGTCCCATCTCGTGGGCTGTCTCTCCAGCTCCTGAGCTTGGGTTAGTTTTCAAGTGACACTAGAGATATTGCTCAGTGGCAGAAAGCCTGGAGCCCCTAAAGATACTTCAGCCTCTCAATGAGATAAAATGCTGTCTGGATGAAGTAGCATGTGCCTATCATCCTGATAGTTGGATAGCTGCCGCAGGAGCGCCATCCAGTGGTATAAGCCTTGCCTAGCATTCAGAGCAGGTCCTGGGTTTCAGCTGAAGAATCACACACGCAGACAACGGTGATGATGTGAAGGTGATGACGGTGGTTATGGTGATGGGAATGGTGATGATGGTGAGAACAGTGGTGATGATGAAAATGACGATTGTGATAACAAGGGAAGTGTTAAGGCATGGAGAGTTAAAAAGAGAAAGGAGGGAAGACGCGTGTTGTAGCTGACAGCACATTTAGTGGCCGAGTGTGAAGATGGGTCGTCAGTTCTAGCGGTCTGGGAAGGTGCTGGACAGGAAAGTGATTGCTTGGATATCCCAGTTGAGGCCAACAGTCACAGAGACGGGAAGTGGCGAGAAGAGATTTAGGGAGAACTCCGCAGAACCGGGAGCAGATGCTGTAGGGAAGGGTGCAGCAAGGGGCTCGCTGAGATTTCGGGGCTGGAAACTCAGACCGGGGTGATAACTGAGGGCATGTGGGGAGCAACAGAAATGTGTGAGGATGGAGAACCGAGTAACTATCCCTCTGCTTTCAGTAACAACACAGACATAGCTCAGACCGTCCCCCTCAGGGTGCTGAGGTTAGTGCTGCTGCTGCGGCAACTGTGGCTGCAGAGGCCGACACCCAGCCTGCCTGGGACACGCATGAGTGCAGCCTCGGGGCTGAAGAGAACTTTCCCAGACAGTGTGCAGGTTTCTGTGTTTGTATTTGTTCTGGCAGTGCTAGGGAAGGCATCAGGGGCCTCATGCCTACTAGACAAGTGCTCCACCACTGAGCCACACCCAGCCCCTCACTGGGGGATTCTACTCAGGTGCTCTGCCAGTGAGCCCCACCCCAGCCCCTTACTGGGAGATTCTAGGCAGCTGCTCCACCACTGAGCCACACCCCAGCCCCTCACTGGGGGTCCTGGCACCAACACTGGCCAAGTCACAAGCGCCTGGAAGTCCACCTGCAGGGGATCCAATGAGCTCTTCTGACCCCCACAGGCATATGCACAAATTGATACACATAATAAAAATAATAATAAAACCGGGCAAGGTGGCACACGCCTATAGTCCCACCACTCTGGGAGGCAGAGGCAGGTGGATCTCTGTGAGTTCGAGGCCAGCCTGGTCCACAAAGAGAGTCAGGCCAAGGCTACAGAGAAACCCTGTCTCAAAAAAACCATAATAATAATAATAATAATAATAATAATAATAATAATAATAACAACAACAACAACAACAACACTAACAATAATAGTACAATGAACCATCACAGGGTGGGCTATAGAGAGCTGACATGAAATTCTTGGGTCCAGGAGATCTTGGGAGGCAGGGGTCCCCATGATGCTTCTCTCTGGCTTGTCCTCCAACAGGACCCAACTTGAGCCACTGGTCAGAGCCCAACTGGACGTCGCCACAGGAATTCGTTATCCTGGGCTTCTCGGGGTGGCCGCAGGGCCTCCGTGTGCTGCTCTTCTCGCTCCTCCTGCCCCTCTACTTGGCCACACTGGCTGGCAACCTGCTCATTCTGGGCCTGGCCCTGGCGGAACCCTCGCTTCATACTCCCATGTACTTCTTCCTCGGCTCACTGTCCGCGGTGGAGGTGGCCTACACGCTGGTGCTCACCCCGCGCATGCTGGCTGGCTTCCTCCTGCCTCCGGGTGGCCAGGCGGTGGCACGCTCGGCCTGCGCCACCCAGATGGGTCTGTTCGTGGCTCTGGGTGGCTCTGAGTGCCTGCTGCTGGCAGCCATGGCCTTGGACCGCTACCTGGCTATCTGCCGTCCCCTCTACTACCCTCAGCTCATGACCACTGCGCTCTGCTGGGTCCTTCTAGCCTGCTGCTGTCTGGGTGGCTCCGTCCTGGCCTTGGGCCTCACCACTGCCATATTCCAGCTGCCTTTCTGCCATGGTGGGCTCGTCAATCACGTCTTCTGCGACCTCCCTGCCGTGCTGGTGCTGGCCTGCGGGAACCGGGACCTTCAGGAGCGGGTGTTACTGGCGGCCTGCATGCTCCTGCTGGTGCTGCCGCTGATCCTCATCCTGCTGTCCTACACCAGGGTACTGGTGGTCATCCTGGGCGTGGGGGACAGCGCGGGCCGCCGCAAGGCCTTCAACACCGTGGCCTCCCACCTCACCGTGGCTGTGCTCCACTACGGCTGTGCCACGGCCATGTACGCCAGGCCGCTGAGCAGCCGCTCCCTGGAGGAGGACAAACTGGTCTCCCTCATCTACATAAACCTCACCCCGCTGCTGTACCCGGCCATCTACACGCTGCGCAACCGGGACATGCAGGGCGCCCTCCAGCGGGTGGTCAGCCAGAGGACGACAGGGGCGGTCCAGCAGGCGGAGCTCGTCTAGCAGTGGGCGCCAGGGGTTGTCGGGGGCCACTGATGGAAATCGCACCACCCCAGAGCGTCATTCCGTGACCTCCCCGTCACCTGGCCAATGTAAGCTTGCTTCTAGCGTCCGAAGACCTCCAGACTGGCTAGCCACGCTTCCGCTCCCACTCAGACTGACATGGTTCTTTGTTGTCTGTGGGGGCTGGGAGGTGCTGGGAGATGCTCAGTAACCCCTACGTCACTGGATGCTGCTGTCCACGATGGAACGACCAAGAAAGTTTAGCGGGAACCAGATGTGGAGGTTCATACCTGCAATTCTAGCCCTCAGCAGGCAGAGGCGGGAAAGATCAAAAATTCAAGGCCAGGCCCAGCTTTCACAGGGAGACACTGTCTGAAAAACAAAAGAAACTCCAACAAGTTGTGGGGCAGGGGTGGCTCATGCCTGTAACCCTAGAATGTAGGAGGTGGAAGCAAGGGTTCAGGTCATCTTCACAGCCACATGGGGTGCTGGAGGCCAGCATGGACTACATGAATCCCTACCTTAAAAACACAGAAAGGGTCAGGCGATGGTGGCACATGCCTTTGATCCCAGCATTTGGAAGGCAGAGGCAGGCAGATCTCTTGAGTTCGAAGCCAACCTGGTCTACATAGCGAGTTCCAGCCAGGGATATAAAGTAAGACCCTGTCTGGAAAAAAAAAAAAAAATGTTTAAAAAAATACAGGAAAAAATAGAAGGAAGAAGAGAGGGAATAGAAAAAAGAAAATTAGTTAAATTAAATCTTTAAAATGTCATTAGAGCCTACCAAATGCCCCTGAGGGGCAAAACAGCTGCTGCCTGATGCTCTGTGCCCTAGATAAATAGTAACCCTTAGACAGATGTGCAGGAAGCTCACGGAAGCGTCCTTTACACTATGAGAAGCGGGAATAGTTGTCCGCAGATTCGGGCCAGTGACAGGGCTCAGCGGGTAAAGCTGCTTGCCGAGCAAGCCTGAGTTCCATCTTCCGTGTAAAGACAGATGGAGATAACTCATCCCACAATTGTCTGACCTACACAAACCCACCGGGGCACTTTTTAAGTATCTGCAGATATAGTCTAACTGTGAACAGCCTATGGCATGTTTATGGACTATTCCGATGTTGGGAAATGGAAAGGAACGAACAGCCATGGGCAGAAACAAAAAAACGTCAGCACAAATGTAGCGCCAAGCCTATAAAGCTAGACAGAGTGCACGATCCCATGCAGATCAAAGACACGGGTAATCCACCGAAACTGACCGGTGTCCGGGTTTCCGTAAAATGCTTGGGTCAGGACTCTGGCCTGGATGCTGGGATTGCCATCCAGCAAGACGGCTCAGCAGGTGAAGGCGCCTGCCAGCAAGCCTGGAGACCTGGGTTCAACGCCTGGGTCCCACAGGGTGGAACGAGAAAACTGGTTCCTAAAGGCTTGTCTTCTGATCTCTATATGCACCCCGTCTCTCAATAAATACAAATTTTAAAACCTTGTGAGGATGCACACTGAAGACCTACGCACACCACAGTAGGCACGTGAGCTGAGCTGATCATCTTCACACGCCGTCCCCTGCTCGCGCTGCCCGAGTCCCTGGGGCCCTCTTGACTTCCTCCTGGGCAGATCCTGTGTCGCTCAAGACCAGCCCCACCATCACCTTTCCCTTCTGTCATAGCCCCTGTCTATGCTAAAACCAGTCTGGGGCCAGGGAGAGAGCTGGGTCAGTAAAATGCTTGTTGCATCATCATGAAGGCCCAAGAAATCGGAGACCAGAGCATCCCCACACTCAGTGAGAGGGCCTACCTCCAACACTAAGATGGAGAGGCTGGGAGATGGCTCAGGGAGTGAGGGCGTCCGCCACGCAACCCAGTCTGAGCCCCAGAGCTCATGAAAAGCTGTGAGGAAGCAAACTCCGCAAAGCTGTCCTCTGCCCTCCAGGTGCGTACACACACACACTGATAATACAATTTAAGCATTTGTCCAAGTGTGTGTAGGTAGGTAGGTGACTGTATATAAAAATAACTGCAGGAGGAGGAGGAGGCGTTGTGTTAGAGTCCCTGGAGCTGGGGTTAGCAGTCATTATGAGCCACCTGATTTGGGTGCTGGGAATTGAACTTGTGCACGCTGAAAAGCAGTATGAGCTTCTTTTCTGATTGTTCTTTTTTTGAGACAGGGTTTCTCTGGGTTGTTTGTGGGTGGGTCTAGGCTCATGTGTCTGAGCACCTGGTCCCCAGCGGATGACACCACTGGGGAGATTATTGAACCTCTTGGCAATGGAGCCTTGCTGAAGGAAGCAGGGGACGGGGGATAAGCCTTGAAGTTTTACGCTCCGCCCCACTTCCTGTCTAGGCCAGGCCTCTAGACTGGATATAGCATGACCCGATGCCTCCCGCTCTTGCTGCCATACCTTTCCCCTGCCCGGGTGGACTGTTTCCGCTTGATCTGTGAGGCCTCCCTTAAGATGCTTCGTGTCAGGGCTCTGGTCTTGCCTACCAGGACATTTTCCTCAAATCCTGGTAAGGGTGAACTCTGGCCTAGAGTCTCTGTTATGGAAGTGTTGGAGATAGCCGTGAGGACTCAGGTTGGCAGTTCCTGAGCCCAACTGGCTAATCCTTAAAGAGATTTGAAAGTAGCAGGGGTTTGCCTTGGTATAAATAAATATATTCAAAAGACCTCATATTGGGCCTGGGGAGATGGTTCAGTCAGTGAAATGCTGGCCATGCAAACATGAGGTCTTGAGTTCAGATCCCCAGGACCCACATAAACGGGCAGCTACAGCCATGTACAACTGTCGTCCCAGCACTGGGAATCCTTGGGGCTAGGTACCAGCCAGTCTAGCTAAATCAGTGAACTCCAGAATCAGTGGGCGACACTGTCTGAAAAATAAGGTGATTGGGGAAGACTTGACATCGACCTCTGACCTCTCTTTGCACACACATGCACAAACAGGTTTCAAAAGAAGGTCTCTTAAAATAACACATAAGTACATTTTATTTATTGTGTGGCGGGGGGAGGAGACTCGAACATGTCACCTGTGGAGGTCAGAGGGCAAACTGGAGTGGATTCTCTCCTTCCGTCCTGTGTGTCCCAGAGGTTGAACTTAGGTCACGAGGCCTTGTGACTGAGCCATCTTGCCTTCGAAGGTACCTTTCTGTGCTACCTTTTTCATGGAGTCCGGACTAGACAGAGCCACCTGGACTTGTCACTCCAGGCCTCCCGCACAGTCAGCTCTGAAATGGAAGTTTCTGGGGTTTTCTGGAAACTCAGTTGTGTCACGTGAATGTTTTTTTTTGTTTTGGTCCCAAGTGTGGGATGTGGGAATGTTTTTCCCCTATGGAAAACAGCCCTCCAAATCCCCCCCCACCTCCCCACCTCTCACCCCCACCTCCCACCCCCACCATGAGAGGGCATATGGTGCTGGTCAGCTGAAAGTTACCTTGTGTGAGGGGCACGGGTGTTGTGAGCTGCCAAGCATCCTCGGGTACTTGGAGAAGGGTTAAATAGAAGCCCCAGGCAGTGAGGGGACGCTTCTGAGTCTCTATGCCTTTGCACTGCTGGGGTTCACAGCCTTTGCTGGTCTTCGAGGAGAGAAGCGCTCCAGAGAACTTGCTCGTGCTGCTTTGGTGAGGTTTTGCCGTTTTCGCTGCAGCTAGTTGCTTCTGCTGAGTCATTCTGCTTCTGCTGATGCCAGTTGGTGCACCTGCTTTGCTGAATGGCTGGTTCCTGAGGACTGAGTTTGGTAATTCCCAAAGAACCCATCGACCCTTATCAGCAAGAAGTAGATAAAAGCGGTCTACAGACCCTTTTCCTACCTTTCCCTACTAATCTCCTTGGTTTTTTTAAGACAGGGTTTCTCTGTGTAGCCTTAGCTGTCTTGGAACTCACTCTGTAGACCAGGCTGGCCTCGAACTCACAGCGATCTACCTACCTCTGCTTCCTGAGCGCTGGGATTACAAATGTGTGCCACCGTGCCTGGTTCAGCATGATTTGTTTTGTTTTGTTTTGTTTTAAAGACTTTATTTTTGCCTGGGGAATGGTGGCACACAGCTTTAATCCCAGCACTCAGAAGGCAGAGGCAGGTGGATCTCTGTGAGTTCAAGGCTAGCCTGGTCTACAAAGCAAGTTCCAGGACAGCCAGGGCTGCACAAACAAATCCTGTCTCAAAAACCAAATAAAACGTTTAAAAAGACTTTATTTTCAACACAGTTTTAGGTTTACAGCAGAAGAGGAAGGTCCAGGTTGCCCTGGGACACTCTGTCCTCTGCAGTGTGTTCTTACACTCTGAGCAAATGAGAGAGCTCAGCTGCGTTTATACGGAACCTGAGAAAATCCAAATATCCCTAGGAGTGTGACAAAGACCCAAGTACCTATGTTCATCATTCAGCTTCTTTGCCATCCCAACTGGGGCGAATCCAAAACTAATCCTGGGGCTGAAGAGATGATCAGTAGTTAAGAGCATTTTCTGCTCTTACAGAGGGCACACATCTGGCGGTTTACAATTTCCCGTAAGTCCATTTCCAAGGGATCTGCTGGCTTCTTCTGCTCTCCACAGGCATTCATACACACACACACACACACACACACACACAATTACAGAGACACACACATGCACAAATGCACATAAATCAAAGTAAAAAGAACTTTGATGAGAATCTGGCCAGGGTTTATAATGGTAGGGGAACTCTTGGTCTCTACAAGACCCAAGGACAGACAGAGTTTCAGTATGTCCAGCCTGTTGTTCCAGCTTTGCTCCTGACCTTGGGGCATCCAGACACCACTGGGCACCGCTGGTGGAAGGAATGAGGCTTGACCAGATGGGTATGGTGGCTTAGTTAGCAGGATCTTGATTTGATGGTGAATGGGGGAGGGGGCTTCTCAGAGACAGTTTTCAGTGAAACACTTCTTCTTTATTTGGGGGAATAGGGCTATCTAAACCTTGGGAAGGGTAGTGGGTTTGGGGGTGTGTGAATGCACATCGCTGGCTGGGGCTGAGGTGCTGCAAACGCTTCATT